TATATATATATATATATATCTTCCATATTTCTTTTGACATTTACACTAATGTTTGCATCTAGTGTCAGTACTTAAACAGTCTCGGTCTTTCAAACAGTTAAAACTAGAAAGTAACTCTAGCACATGGGTCCTGATCATCTTGAGTCATACCTACTGCATGTGACATTTTGACCCTGATTTAGACTTTGACCCTCACCACTGACGGCCTTTTGCCAACCTCTCCATGACCTTTAAGTAATCCTGAACCCGAGCTCTGCTCCTGACATGAACGTGACTTTGTCTGAGGGCAAAGCACCTGGCCCCTCACACTACCAGAGACTCTCCACATGTTTTCTGTCAACTTTAATCAGTGTTTTCCTGCTGTCAGCCTGCAGAACATTTTGTACTCATATACAGTCCTCCCCATGTGACCTTGGAAACTTAACCTAGAGAGACACAGATTTTTGCCAATATTTCCCAAATGCATTTTGTCTTCAAACGTGTTTCTGTTGAATTGTGTTGTTTTTGATGGACCTGCAGAGCTAAATAAATTTTATAATACTTTTGAAGGCCAGGATCATTTTTTACAACACAAACTTTGATATTTTCTGATAAACAGTGAAGAGGTTTGTGTTCCTATTTCAAACAACAGCACCAGGGTTGCAAAATGAAACAAATGCTGAACTCTTGAAAACAGTCCCTTAACTGTCTGTGAGGGTGGCTGCTTCAAAACACTGACAGTATAAAAGATGGATGCAGTCACTTTGGCATCATCTACTGTGTTACAAAGTCCCCTTTAAAGGCTTGGAGATGTGTGTTTTAAACATTGCCATTGTGACGTTGTGAAACTCGATGTCACAAGTGGTGTTTTGTCAATCACAAGTTGCTAGCCAATGAGCATTCCCTGTAAAATTCTTCTTTCTGATTCTTAATTTTAAAATGTACAAAATGCTCAACAATGGCATGAAAAAGGAAGAAAGGACGTTTGCTTGAGTCATGTTCGAGTTCCCGTCACTTTTAAAACCTGTAAACTGCATCCATCTGTTTATAGTGTATATGCTCCAAAAGGAAGTTAAAGCACCACATATGCTCCCATTTTCAGATGGGGATCTTTATAACACAAACAAAAGACATGTTTTTGTATCAAGAACTCAGTAAATATTCACTACACATTGTCTGGGCTTTGGCTACTCAGACAGTCAGGTGTCTGTAGCTGCCATCCCTCATCTAATGAGAGTATCTCAGCTGGAGCACTCTAGTGTTTATGCCTTTGTGAACACAAATATTTCTACATCATAAATAAAAACAAAAGTAAACAAGTGAAAATAAGGCTTAAAATGGTCCCAGACAAGACTCTGACTCTAGCTTCGCTGGTGCTTAAATATGGAACTGCTTGCTTATGCTGTCAGGTAGTACAGTAGGACCAAATGACTTGTGTTAATTTAGTTGGAGGGAAGTCTAAACAGGAGAAACCACAGCTACAGTAGCTGGTTAGCAGTGAGTGAACTTTGAAAATAAGAGTGAGGGGTTTATCCACTAGTAAGTCATTGGCATCATTGTCTCAGATGGAATAAAAAGTCAAAAGAAAATAAATAAATCACCAAATTTCCATGTGCAACCTGCCCAAGCTAAGACTCTGTGGGAAACCCCGATCATCACTCAGCTACATCAAGTCAACCACTATTAATAGAAACAGCTATTAAATATGTGGCAGGTCACTCTGATTATCATGTTAATAACGTGGCACATTTGGAACAAAACTCAGCTGCAGTTAAGCGGACTAAATAAACGCTGAATTGGAATCGGGCATACGTCCTAAGTACACCTGCTCATTTGGCATTTGTGCTTGTTTTTCCGTGTAACGTTTCCTTTCAGTGCACACGGATATTTCATTATTCTGTTGGAAACTCCACAGAGGGCTGAAAGCAGAAAAGGTTCACTTGTGTGTGTTTACTTGTGCATCACTAAGCCACCGTGCCGCTGTCGCTTTCACCTTTGATTTGCCCTGACGCCGCATCTCTCTTTCTCTCTTACTCTCTGTAAATGTGTCTCCGTCACAGCGGTGGGTGTTTTGGTTGAGTCACTCCAAAATGGTGTGCCAAGCAGAGGGCCATTTGTTTGTTGTTTTGATTATGAACAAGCAATTTCCCCCCGGGGGTGGATGGCGAGCACCCTCGGGTTGCAGCAGGTGCGTGGATGCATATTTGTCTGTGTGAGAGAGTGCATTCATAAATGCAGAGAATCGGAGAGACGTTGGGACTCTTTGTCTTTTGTGTCTGTACATTTGTACAGCTCTGTGCTCATGAAGATATTGTCACTTTGTCTCGGCTTAGAGTGTCTTTTATATTTTTTTCACTTTATTTACTTCGCAATAATTTTGCATCCAACATTTACATAATCAGGTCAGGACACACACCAATACAAGATCTTCACTGACACATTAATACAGATTCAAATTCCAAATAACAATAATTTTAAACTTCACTTTAAAAAGTCGCATGCATTAGTTGTACATTTTAGATAATTCCAGCAATCTTTGATTAATGATTATTTGTGCACACTTGTGTAAAAGAATATGTAATCAGCCATAACTTGAACTCTAAATCAGATAAAGCTGACATAGCAACCGGTTCCTAGTTTATCAAGAGCATGAGATTGTTGGCTTAGAAAACTTAGCTTAGAGTGTTAGCTCGGACATGGAAATGGAGACTTTCCATTTTCAACACTAACACTGAGTGTGCGTTGTCATAGCACTACATAGTCCTATTACACAGTTATAGTCATACTGATTACGATTTCTGTCAGAGCATATCTACACAACCTCAAAACAACACAACTGTGGGAGGGACCATGTTGAGGGTGTCGCTCAGTAACAGGTTCATTATTCACCTGTTTGAATTTCAATGAAGTAGAGTTTCAATAAAATGACCAAATTTGTATAAGAAGAAAAGAAACTATTTATAAACTCCAGCAATGTGAAAATCTCAATGAATCAATTGGTATTGATTTAAAAAATTTCAAGCAGTATGTACTTCCACAGTAAATGATATTCATGCTGTAAAGTATTTGGTATTTGGTTTTGGTTACAGTTTTAATGTAAATTTATATATAACCTTTTAAAAATCAAACCATTGTCTGTGTCAGCACTTTTAATGTGCAGTCTATTGAACAGTCCATAATTTCTTCTTTCTTGTCGTGTTGTTTGATTCTTTCAATTCAATTCAATTCAATTTTATTTATATAGCGCCAAATCACAACAAAAGTCGCCTCAAGGCGCTTCATAGATACAGAGAAAAACCCAACAATCATATGACCCCCTATGAGCAAGCACTTTGGCGACAGTGG